CATTGAATCTCACGCACAACTTTTTTCAACCACCTGTTTTTCAATTCACTTTTACCTTCTGTGTTTTTTTCCCAAGTTAAAAAGAAGAGGGAAATATTTCATGTTTCATAGGTTTTCAGTTTACACAAGTACTGGCGAATAGTCTATACATAAGAGGTTTTGGATCTATCATTATCAGTGTTAGTTTGACACAGGCTTATGGGAAGTTTAAAACACCTAATTAATCGATAAACAGCTGACAAAATGGAAACTTTGTATCTAAATAATTTTTTATATACTAATTACCAGACAGAGAAACTACTGAAGACATTTTTTTTCTGAAGAATATCGCTTGAAAATGCTTCTTTGTAGGTAGGGAAAACTTTCGATATCGAAATCCATTTTAAATGACATTTATTATTTGAGGAACACAATTTATCAGTCGGTGTAAGCATCAACACTGGGATGCAGGTGAATTCAGACAACGCATCTTAACTCAGACGAATCGCAAGGCTTGGATTCTTCTACTACTACTACTCCCCTTACTATTCAAATTCACGAGTTCATTGCAAAAATTTATTATGTTTGAGTAGTTTAAAATAATGATTCCTTCCTCCACGCAGAACAGCTTTAATCAATTAATGACATCATTGTAAGCTTCTGAAAATAACACAACCTGCAGTTTTGAAACTTTACAATCATCATCAGAGAATATCAGTACTAAATGTCTGACATCAAATTTACTAAAAAATTTTATTTTACTAATTTCTAGTTACTGAATATATCAAATGAAATCATAACACTAATTCAAATTGATTCTTGTAAACACTTTTATGCTGTCTACAAATAACTGGATTCAATTTCTTACAAATTATTTTTTTGTAGAGATTATGATATATTTGTTCGCTTAAATTGAATTAGTGTCGAATTTTAAAAAAATCCTTTTCTTATTCATTATTTGCCTCGCTTGTTGAACATTGAAAACGAATTAAACAATAAATTTACTACAAAGAAAAAGTAACTGTTTTTCATCATCAAAATTATTCTCAAGCAACTTTATGATTGAAAAAAAAATTGTACATTCCAACGTTGCAAGCATTTAGGTCATGCAGTGAATATTATTCGTAAACTTTTCTGCAGATATTGGTAACTGTCAAGAGTTATGAAAAATTAAATATTCAGGTTATTTCTGTTAAAAATAAAAGTAGGAACTGAAGTTGATTGAAAAGCCAGATGGAACGTTTCTTCTTAACATTTTGTTCTTTTTGTGTTCAACAACAGCGATAGGTCATTCATTCTCCTTCTTTTGTGTAGAAGCTTTTTTATGGTACATTGTGATTAGATGCATCATTTATACTGTAGATAAAATCTTCATCCAAATTTCCAAATATCTTTTTCAGTTATTCAGAAAAAAACAACATTAAACTCTGCCAAATGATGTATTCTTATTCGTGGTCAACATTAATTGTTGCTTCAGTGTTAACAAAATATGAGAGGAGGAATACTTTCGTGATATGTTACCTTTGCACTTCACTTAGATTATTCACAATGTACATGGGGGAAATAATAAAAGAAGTAACGTAATACAAACATATATATATATATATATATATATATATATATATATAGTGGATACCTATGTAAACAAAGTACATGCTTATTCCGCTTAGACTTAAATAAAGGAAAATTATATATTTTCTACTCAATTCGGTATTTGTTAAAGGTAGAATAATTTATTATCGACGAGAAATAAATGATGCGATTGTTTTCTGTTCAACAAAAAGAGTAATAAGTTTAATGTCTCCTGGATTTCATCAGAGAATATTTGAATCTCTGTATCACTTCCATGCACTAAACAGACAAAATTACCATGATTGATTAAATGATAACGTTTAAGTGAATTCAAAAAAATAAAAAAATAAAGAAACGAGAACGTGATCTCATAATAGGTAAATTATTATTTGCTTGCAGTTTATTCATTTTCTCTAACACGCTATAACACTTTTCTGTGGTAATAAAATTTTATTGCAATAGATCTGCTTGAAAAAAAAACAATCACTTTGATAAATTTCACAGTTTATTACGTGTGATTATTTTGCTTTGTTGATGAAATACTGACTTTTCATCGACAACTTTCTATCGCGCCTTATTCACATTGGATATTAAATGAAATAAGGGTTAAATGGAACAGGAGAATTTTGTTAACCACTTTATGACTTTTTTTTGGTAAGATCATCCTTAAAACATTCAACTGTTCTGATAGATATTTTGAACTCGGATTTGGTCAGATGCTTATTTTTGTCATCTTTCTATTTAGTAAAAAAAAGTGTTTTTATTTTGCGCTAAATTTATAAAAGTATACTAAAAAACTTTGTGCCTTCACATATTAAATTCTTAATGAGGAAAATTTTTTTCTGTAAATCGTACTTTTATTCCTCCCAAAAATACTTCACACATATAAAAGCTACATGAATCGTTGGGGACGTTAGATCCCCAGGACTTGCTTGATAAAGGTCCTAATTTTGAATTTTGTTCATAGGCTGATTAGCTGACCTTTTACCACCAGGAAAATCCTTGACTGTCATTCGTTGATATGTTATTTTAGTACGCTGTTTTTGTGACTCTCACAAGGACGTTTCTATGGTGTACAAATAAGCTCGCTCTAAGTGCTTGAGTTCATTATGTTCCCTGGGTGTTTGTAGAATACACTTTCTATGCCATATTTAGTTTTTCTTCAGTTAGTTGGGCAACGGATCAGAGTAGCCTACCGTGTAACTGAATCATCGTCTCGCTTTCGTTACCGACTAATGGTGAACTCGTAATAGTTTCAAGCATATCAATTAACGAGCATAACAGAATTCAATGAATGAATATTATTTTCTGTTCTTTACCAAATGAATATGATTTCCTGAGTAATTGTTTTGCTCTTTATTTGATGCTACAAAAGTATCTTACCACCAGTTCAATACATGAAACGTCAAAATTCTTTAAATCGAAAAAATCAACAAATTTTTTGACAATGAATACAGATGTAAGAGTTAAAATTAATAATTCAGATTGTGAATCAAACGCGCTGAAGAAAATAATGGTATCTACATATAATGTACTTAGGACAATACTTGTGTAACAGTTACCAAACCTGTCGCGGTTTTTGTGCATTGTAGCTCAGTTTTCACAGTAATGAAATGTAATGAACAGATTGAGAAAAACACGCTTGTCCACACAAATGATAATTAAATCTCCATAAAAAATCATTATACTACACGATACTTCTAATTATATTCAGCTAACGACAGAGGTCCCACTTTTTCTAGCTATAAAACTGTTCCCATCTGTGTATTCATTGATAACAACAAGAAACGAGTTTATGTCAAAGTTTTCGATCTAAAAATTGTGTCTTTCAATTATTCGTATTGATACCAGAAACAGAATGAGTGAAAACTACCATAGTTTGTTAAAAAGGAATTTGAAATATCACAACTTGAATTTCGAATGCATACATTTTTATTAAAATTTCAATTGAGTGATATTTATAATCCACTACTTTCAGGTAAGATTTAAACTCAAGTCATACAATATCAAAGATGACAGATTTGAATTTTTTCTGAATGACGACTGAATTTGTGTGTAATTGATAACAGTTACGCTGATTGACAACAAAGTATTAACCATTGTAACATTTATATAGATAGATCTTTTATCTAGTTGGATTATATTGATCACTTTACAGTGTGCTTATCTAACACCATATAATATTCAAAACTGCTAAAGCTCTTAGATATGTGATCATATTACAACTTAATCAACAGAATTCGATCATATTAAAGAATTAGACGAACTTAACTTTGTCGTTCATTTCATTATCAAATTGTACCAGAATGCTTAATTATTGAGGGTAATTCTTTAATAATCATAATTTTAAGAATATTTTATGCAACGCGATTGAGTAACTTGTTATTCAAACATCTCTCTCTAAGATACATATCTTTCCTTTATAAAATATATCACCTTGCGTATCAATCATTAATGCTCAACCAATAACACAACATGTGCCAACCAAATCACACTTGATGGAGATGCCTTGGAGGACGTTAACACCTTTCCATATCTTGGCAGCATCATCGACAATCAAGGTGGATCCGATGCAGATATGAGGGCGCGGATCGGTAAAACAACATCTGGAACTCAAAACAACTGTTAACAATCACCATAATCAGGATTTTCAACACAATAGTCAATATAGTTTTACTGTACGGAGCGTAAACCTGGAGAACTACGTAAGCCATCATCCAGAAGATACAAGTATTATTCGTTGGCCAGAAACTATCAGCAACAACCTAATTGGATTAGAAAATCAGGAAGAAGCAGTGGAAGTGGATAGGATACACACTGCGAAGAACACCTAACTGCGTCACAAGACAAGCCCTCAGATGGAACCCTCAAGGCGAAAGGAAAAGAGGAAAGCCAAGGAACACATTTTGACGAGAAATAGACAAAGATATGAGAAGAATCAACGAAAACTGGAAATAACTAGAAAGGGAAGCCCAGAATAGAGTTGGTTGGGGAAAACTGGTCTGCGGCCTATGCTCCATTGGGGGTAACAGGCGTTAGTAAAAGAAAACCCAGCTACCAACGTTTTTCAATAAAATAGTAGAAATAAGTGAATGATGAAGTTGATTGGAATGCTGAAATTTATGTTCCAAACAACTGGAAATTTTTCAGTATTCTTACGAGTCTAAATCAATAATTATTGTCATTGTTCTTTTTGATGTGTGTTCCTAGTTTATGTTCAAGCACAGTGTACAAGTATTATCCATGAAACGGAAAAATCAGGTTAAGGAAATAATTATTAATTTCAAAATATTTTATTTGTTTTGAATTATTCGCATCTAATTTTTTTATGGGTAAATAATGAAAAAAATAATAGATGTACAATGTATGATATTGTTCGATTTTTTTTACAGTAAGATTTATATACAAAATAATACATACATATATATATATATATAAATATAAATTGTGAGGAATGACGTTCATCTAGAATTTCAAAGAATTCATAGGGTTCACTGAAGAAGTAGTAAATAGGAAAGTAATCCTTGACTCAGTATTAAAAAATAAATTATTCATTTATTTGTTTATATCCTTCCGTTGCTGGTTGCTGTGGTGACCTGTGTAATATTTAGTACAACAGTTAACTAGTTGAAACATACTCTTAATTTAAAATGTCATCTGTTTTCTTTCAACTGGAAACATATGATGATTGGCAGAATTAAATAGATCTCAGTAATAAATGCTATAATTAGAGAAATAAATAAAATGAATACATTTTACATTTTGACAGTTTGTTTGAAGAAAACCAAATTATATAAATTTTTAAGTTAAGCAACGTTTGATCGTATTTTACGATAAGCATAAAAAACAATTATACAGGCCCAGTGGTCCGATGGTAAGGCGTTCGCCTACAATGCCAAAGGTCCCGGGTTCGAGTCCTGCGAGGAGCAGGAGTCGTGGATGCGCACTGCTGAGGAGTCCCATACTAGGACGAAACGGCCGTCCAGTGCTTCCAGGTTTCTAATGGTGGTCTAACAATGATGATTGATTAATGATTTCAAATGTGTAAAAACGCAAACCTCCAAAACTGTGCCCCAATATAATGTAACAGTGCTCACTAGTGACTAGCTTCGTGAGGAAATTCTCGGAGTTCTAGTTGAGAAGACGTGACCAGTAGGAGTTCAACCCTGTCGGGTGTAGGCAGTAACTACCAAAGACAAATGGGTGAGGTCGCGCAAAATCCCTAGATCAATCAGAGTTAGACATTAACACCGTTAGGATGCCGGCCCAGTGGTCCGATGGTAAGGCGTTCGCCTACAATGCCAAAGGTCCCGGGTTCGAGTCCTGCGAGGAGCAGGAGTCGTGGATGCGCACTGCTGAGGAGTCCCATACTAGGACGAAACGGCCGTCCAGTGCTTCCAGGTTTCTAATGGTGGTCTAACAATGATGATTGATTAATGATTTCAAATGTGTAAAAACGCAAACCTCCAAAACTGTGCCCCAATATAATGTAACAGTGCTCACTAGTGACTAGCTTCGTGAGGAAATTCTCGGAGTTCTAGTTGAGAAGACGTGACCAGTGGAGTTCAACCCTGTCGGGTGTAGGCAGTAACTACCAAAGACAAATGGGTGAGGTCGCGCAAAATCCCTAGATCAATCAGAGTTAGACATTAACACCGTTGGATGCCGGCCCAGTGGTCCGATGGTAAGGCGTTCGCCTACAATGCCAAAGGTCCCGGGTTCGAGTCCTGCGAGGAGCAGGAGTCGTGGATGCGCACTGCTGAGGAGTCCCATACTAGGACGAAACGGCCGTCCAGTGCTTCCAGGTTTCTAATGGTGGTCTAACAATGATGATTGATTAATGATTTCAAATGTGTAAAAACGCAAACCTCCAAAACTGTGCCCCAATATACAGGTTAATCTAAAAGTAAATGGTTTTTAAGTTATTGTACAATTGGTTTATTCAATGTGATTTGTTCCAACGTTTTTACTGTCTTCATGTAACATGTAATAAATAACAGTTTTTGAAATATTTTACTTTAAGAATATTAGTAGAGTAATAGAATTTTCAATGCATCTCATGCAGACAAAAACCTTGATCGGTAACGGAAAAGTAAGTAAGAGGGCGGTGTAATGATTGTAGCCTTCTAACTAGAAGTGAAGATGTATATCCATCACATATGACAGTTAGATTATTCTTTTACATTAGAGGTTGTGAAGATTGTTAAGTTACACATTTGCAATCATGAACTGATCAATGTTAGACCATCATTAGAAACCTGGAGGTAATGGACAGGCATTTCATCCTGGTATGGTACCGAAGGTCCTGGGTCCGAGTCCTGCGAGGTTCCGGAGTCGTGGATGCGCACTGCTGATGAGTCCCATACCAGGACGAAACGGCCTTTCAGTGTTTTAAGGTTTCTACTGCTGGTTTAACATTGATCGAGTCATGATTTCAAATGTATTCTTATACAGTTATAATCCCTTTGTTTAAGTCAGTGTAATCAAAACCTCTGTTATTTTGAATGTTATCTCCTTATAGTGTACTACTGTGAAATCTTAAACAGCAACAATTTATGCGACGTTTCTGAATCGTTGACTTTTATTGATAGTGGATGATAGAAATTGATTTCAACTGATTTGTTTGTTAATAGAATTCAATGATCCATAAATTGGAAATTTATCTTGCTTAGCATTTTTCAATTGTATATTACATTCTTTTTCATGTAACTGATGATTTTTACATGCAGAAAAATCGCATTCTTTCTTATTTATCTGGGGCTGTTAATTAAATTGTTTGTTTCCTTCCTATAATGTGCACACTCAAATATTTAGTCTTGAGTGGATATTTGTTTTTGCTTCATATTTTATGGAAATTATTTATGTATTAAATTGTTACTATAATTATGAAATGGTTATATCTAGCTGACTTTAAGGTGAACAGATAAACGTTTTTTAATAATCTAGAGCAAATTCACACAAATTCATAGATTTACTTTGTTTACTTTCACATCACTTATATAATTCCGTGTACACAGTTGAAGTTACTTAGTAAGTGCGACTTAATATGATTCGCTAATGTGATTTTCTAAAATCGTATGTGAGTTTTGATTTGGGATATTAAAGATTTAGTGTATGACTGAGATACTGTAGATTTAGTATTATTACTAAGATTAGACTAGTTAATTCCAAAAAAATATTGGTCATTTTATAGAATGTTAATCATAAAGTGATGGTATACTGTTGATATTCCAGTGAGTAGAAGTTAGACTAACTGACATTAAGAAGTTAGTTTTATTCACTTTTTCGGGAAAAACACGACTGAAAAGAAGGAAATCTCATCAACACAACTCTCCTCTCTATACCAAGAAAAGTCTTCTACAAATTTTCGTTGAACAGAAGGAAAGATTACGTAGACGCTTAACTTTGAGATCGATCATGAGTCGACCAGTTCGTAACAGTACGGATCATTGTGGAACAATCAACTTAATGGAACTCACTACTCTACATCAACTTCTATGGCTATAAGAAAGTATTTGACAGCTCAGATAAGAGAAACTTATGGAACTGGCTTCGATGCTGGTGTACTTGAGTAGCTTGTCAACATCATACGCAATTCTTACGATGGGCTACACTGCAAAGCTGTACACGGAGGATATTTTACAGATTCACCCCAACTAAAGACTAGCTTCAAACAAAGCTGCGTTCTGTTGTGTTTCCTCTTTATTCTGGTGGTTGACTAGATCATTATTGCCTAAACATCTCAGGATAAGCAAGGAATAGGGTGGACAGATTGATTGCACCTTGACGATTTTGACTTCGTAGATGAGCTAGCTCTCCCATCCCTCACAACCTTTGCAACAAATGCAGGTGAAGACGGTCACTGTAACAACAGCCCGTGCAGCAGTAGTTCTCAACGCACACAAGGGGAAAATAAGGATGCTCAAAAGCTACACAACATGTACCGACCAAATTACAGTCGATGGAGAAGCTGTGGAAGATGTGGAAGCTGTGCATACATGAGCAGTATCATTGGTAAACCAGGTGAAAGGGATGCAGATGTGGAGCCTCGGAGTGGTAAAGCAAAGATAACATTTCAACAATTGTAGAACATCCTTCAGCCAACACCAGAGTCACGATTTTCACTACAAACGTCAAGACACTTCGATTGTATGGGGTGGAAACTTGAAGAACTACCGAAGCCATCAAAAGGTACAGGGGTTTATTAACAGTTGTTTCCGCAAGATACTCCATATCTGTCTGCCAGACACTATCCGTCACTATGAACTGTGGAAGAGTATGTACAAGGTTGCAGCTGAGGAAGAGATTTGGATAGAGCGCTGGAGATAGATAGGACACACATTGAGGAAAACACCCAAAAGCTTTACAAGACAAGCCCTCACTTGGAATCCTCAAGGCTAAAAAAAGACCACAGTACACAATAAGTCAGGTACTGGAGAAAGATATACAAACAATGAACAGCTATTGGATGGAACTGGAAACGAAGGCCTAAGACCGGGTAGGTTAGAGAATGTTGGTCGGCAGCCTATGCTTCATTAGGGGTAAAGAGCGTAAGAAACGTAGACAATCGAATTTTATCACTGAAGATTCGGGTTATGATTTATAAATCACCGTAGTAAATTATTTCTAATATTTCTTGTCTGAAAATTGTCAAATATTGTTTGTAACGGATTTAAGGTTTTTTTCATAACTAGAAATATAGATCACTTACCAATCTTTGAACAGTTAACCGGTTTATTATGATTAATTACAGTTTGGTCAGGGATTGTTAAATATTTTTCTTTTTCATAAGTTCGTTGTTGATGCTGATCTTGTTGTTCAAAACTATAAAACAATTTGAAACCTAGTTCATTCGGTCTAGATATTTCATCACTTTTAAATAGCACTGTCATTATATTTTTTGATGAAATAAAATACTCAGGTTTAAAAGTTGTATACGTTTTCTGTTGATTACTGTATACAATTTTATTTTCACAATATTCTATTATTAATGGATCTTCTGTGTGCATTCCATCGTACAACTGTACACGATCTCCCATTGATTTATTTCTATTTTCACAGCTAAAAAGCAAATATGAAATTAGATAATCATTTGAAGAAAATAGGTAAGATGACAAACTAAAATAGAACTAACTGTATTTACAATGAACTTTAAAGAATCAAAATAAGATGACATTTATAGTTAAGTTGTCTGAGAATCACGTACAGCATCAATCCAATACAGTTCATTTTTAGTTTTTATTTTTAAAGATGATTTTCTAAAATTAAGTTTAAATATTTATTATTAGTCGTTTAATAAAATTATAGTGAAATATCTTCAAGATACTTCCTATTTTTCGTATATCACACGTTAAGATAACCGCGCAATTATGTGTAAATTTCAAAAGACTATATGAAGTGATAAATACTGCTTATTGTTGTACAGCACACAACACAAAACCACTAGCCACACAAAAAGACAACAAACAAAATGGGAATGTAGTGGAATTAGACTGACTGCAAATGTAATTGATAAAATGAGTTATGAAATTATTTAAGTAATTACCAGTTAGGCTAGTAGGAGAAACAAATGTGTCGACTGTAGACCATTATCAACTAAACATGATCATATGAACATTAGGATGAAAGAAATCCTTTATAAGCATAGAGGTAAATAGTATTCCTCCACATACTTAGCAGATAATAACCCAAAACTTAAACATCCATGTATACTTGTACATTAACATTTTATTCATGTACGATACTTGAAAAGATTGTGATGGTGTTTCGTTCTCTGACCTGGATCTTTTGGTTGTGAAGGTTTCATTGTTCTCCTGAACAAAGTCATTAGCAAAAACTTCATATAGAAGTGAATTTTTCGAATTTCTCCACGTTTGACCCATAGCTCGTTCTGTTAACCTCGATCATGATTGGTTTCTGTTGATCTTAATTCTGTCGTTGTTTGCACCTTTGATTTGATTGTATCCCCGTTTTGATTTGTTTCTTGATCATATGTCGCGTTTGATTTTTCTGATTGGTTAAAAAATCGGCTCCACATCCAATACATCCGGCCTAGAGAACGAAACACCACCACAATCATCCACTTGAGCTACAAATTTTGTCCACCATCTCAATACTTCAAAAGAGCCTACTATCCATTTTAGAACAACGAAATCCGATAATATACAGCATTACGATATTTGATGTTTATGCTTTATATGATTAGCGATTAGAATACCAATTCCTAAAAAAATTGAGTCTTGTATGTTGTAAATATATACTCTTTAAGATGGTTTACTAGACTAGAGCTAATTATTTTCAATTATTTTTACTAGATTCTCTTATCAGTTTTCATAATGAGCAATAAGTAATGTCGGAATTGTTGTCCTCCATAAAATAAGTGCCCAACTGTTCTCTAAAATAATTTATATGACAAAATTTTGTGTAATCTTTTTTTTTCATTTTATTGTCTGTATTATGTGTTATGTACGCTTCAATGTTATTTTATTAGGGTATATTAAAAAACTACCAAGTTATAGCGATCCGATTATTGCCAAGATTCTGTATTAAGTTTACTGATAAGAACTAATTCGTATTTACCATGTCTACATGTCAACTAGTCCTTGTTCTGTCTAACGGTTACAAATTGCATTTGTATTTATGAAGATGATTCACTGAGTTCTTGAAGAACAATTAACTCACACCGTCTGCAGTATAACTCCGCCAGTAGAACCTTCGGGGCTACTGCCGGTCCCAAGCCCGGGTAAAGGAGGAGGGTTGGACATGGGGTTGGCGACCCCATTCCGTCAAAAACTAACTTGCCAAAAAAAACGCTAACCAGAAAAAATAATTCAAACAATTTTAACTCTGCCCTGGGAGTTGGAAGAAGAATTATGACGTCGCGTGATGAAAGCCGAGTTCCCTCGGAAGTCACGGGGCTGATGCCTCTTCTGACAACCAGAGCAACCATTTTTTTAGGTACATGGAACGTTCGTACATTGTGAGAGACTGGAAGACTATTTCAAGTTGCGGCAGAAATGAAACGATACAACCTCGAGGTGCTTGGAATCAGTGAAACGCATTGGACACAGGTAGGACAACTGAGATTAGCTTCAGGGGAACTGCTGTTATACTCTGGTCATGAAGAGGAAAACGCTTCATATACACAACGAGTTGCACTGATGCTATCCAAACATGCACAAAAGGCACTGACAGGATGGGAATCTCATGGACCCAGGATCATTAAAGTATCCTTCAAAACAAAGATAGCGGACATTACAATGAACGTCATCCAATGTTACGCACCTACCAATGACTACAATGACGACGTTAAAGATCGATTCTACGAAAGGCTGCAGTCCATCGTCGAGAAATGTTCACCAAAGGATTTGAACATTCTGATGGGAGACCTGAATGCCAAGGTTGGAATGGACAACACTGGATATGAAGACATCATGGGACGACATGGACTGGGAGAAAGAAACGAAAACGGTGAGAGATTTGCAAACCTATGTGCCTTCAACAAACTGGTCATCGGTGGCACAATATTCCCGCACAAACGCATACACAAAGCTACATGGATTTCACCGGATCACACTACTCAAAACCAAATTGATCATATCTGTATCAACAAAACGTTCAGAAGGACTATGGAGGATGTGAGAACCAAGAGAGGAGCTGATATAGCCTCAGATCACCATTTGCTAATCGCCAAAATGAAACTGAAACTAAAGAAGCACTGGATAACGGGGCAGACAACATCACAGAAGTTTAATACGGCCTTTCTTCGGGATACCGTAAAGCTCAATGAATTCAGGATAGCCCTCACCAATAGGTTCCAGGTCTTTCAAGATCTACTCAATGGAGAGGACGCAACATTGGAGAACAATTGGAAAGGGATCAAGGAGGCAATCACTCCAACATGTCACGAAGTTCTGGGTCACAAGAAGTACCATCACAAGGAATGGATCTCTGTTGGTACTCTTGAAAAAATTGAAGAAAGGAGGAACAAGGAGGCAGCAATCAATGTCAGCCGAACAAGAGCGGAGAAAGTTAAGGCACAAGCTGCATACACAGAAGCAAACAGGGAAGTGAAGAAGAGCATCAGAGCTGACAAACGAAAATATGTGGAAGATCTAGCAATGACGGTGGAAAAGGCTGCAAGAGAAGGAAACATGAGACAATTGTACGAAACAACAAAGAAGCTGGCCGGAAACTATCGTAAACCAGAACGACCAGTGAAAAGCAAGGAAGGGAAAATAATCAGCAACACTGAACAACAGCGAAATAGGTGGGTAGAGCACTTTAAGGAACTATTGAATCGACCAGCTTCACTGAACCCACCCAACATCGAAGCAGCATCCAAGGACCTCCCAATTAACATTGGCGCACCTACGATTGAGGAGATCAGTATGGCCATCAGACAAATCAAGAGTGGCAAAGCAGCAGGACCAGACAACATTCCAGCAGAGGCAATTAAAGCAGATGTAGAAGCAACTGCGAAAATATTTCACATTCTCTTCAAGAAGATTTGGGATGAGGAACAAGTTACATCAGATTGGAAAGAAGGATACCTCATCAAAATACCAAAGAAAGGCGATCTCAGAAAGTGTGAGAACTACAGAGGCATCACTCTTCTTTCAATACCAGGCAAAGTCTTCAACAGAGTATTGTTAAACAGAATGAAGGACTTCGTAGACGCCCAACTTCGAGATCAACAGGCCGGATTTCGGAAGGATCGATCGTGTACTGACCAAATTGCTACATTACGGATCATTGTGGAACAATCAATTGAATGGAACTCACCACTCTACATCAACTTCATCGACTACGAGAAAGCATTTGATAGCGTGGATAGGAAAACACTGTGGAGACTTCTTGCACACTACGGTGTGCCTGAGAAAATAGTCAACATCATACGGAACTCTTATGATGGATTCAACTGCAAAATCGTGCACGGAGGTCAGCTGACAGACTCTTTTGAGGTGAAGACCGGTGTCAGGCAAGGTTGCTTACTCTCACCCTTTCTCTTTCTCCATTTGATCAACTGGATTATGAAGACGTCGACGTCTGGAGGGAAGCACGGTATCAACTGGACAGTTAGGACGCAGCTGGACGATCTGGACTTCGCAGATGATCTGGCTCTTCTATCGCACACTCAACAACAAATGCAAGAGAAGACGACGAGTGTAGCAGCAGCCTCTGCAGCAGTAGGTCTCAACATACATAAAGGAAAAAGCAAAATTCTCCGATGCAACACAACATGCACCAACCGAATCACGCTTGATGGAGATACCTTGGAGGACGTTAACACCTTCACATATCTTGGCAGCATCATCGACGCGAAAGGTGGATCGGACGCAGATGTGAGGGCGTGGATTGGCAAAGCAAGGGCTGCATTTCTACAGTTGAAAAATATCTGGAACTCCAAACAGATATCAATCAACACCAAAATAAGGATTTTCAATACAAATGTCAAGACAGTTCTAATGTATGGAGCGGAAACATGGAGAACTACCAAAGCCATCATCCAGAGGATACAAGTGTTTATTAACAGCTGTCTACGTAAAATACTTCGTATTCGTTGGCCAGACACCATCAGCAACAACGAACTGTGGGAGAGAACAAGTCAGATTCCAATGGAGGAGGAAATCAGGAAGAAGCGGTGGAAGTGGATAGGACACACATTGCGGAAAGCACCTAACTGCATCACGAGACAAGCACTCACATGGAACCCTCAAGGCAAAAGGAAAAGAGGAAGGCCAAAGAATACATTAGGCCGAGAAATAGAGAAAGATATGAGAGGAATGAACAAACATTGAACAGAACTGGAGAGAGAAGCCCAGGACAGAGTTGGTTGGAGAAAACTGGTGGGCGGCCTATGCTCCATTGGGGGTAACAGGCGTAAGTAAGTAAGTAAGTAAATCTGCAGTATCCTGTTATTGGTGCAATCTACATGTGAAAGTTGATTGTATGAAATTATTTACTTGCTTATTAAACATAGATTGATCAAGTTCATAGGTCATATGACAATATATAGTATTTCAACTCGTTTTTTGAAAATTTCACAGCGTATTTTAGAATAACCATAGCGTTTTTTTAAATTTTTTATAATCCTTAAAATGTCCTTATACATCGATTAACATCAACTCAGCATCAAGTAAAATTAAACAACAGATATATGCGCAAGATTTTATGAATATCGAAGACTCCTTCATAAAAGTTTTTATTGATGAATAATCCTTTAATTTATATTTGAAAAGAACTTTGGGAAGATCTACAATAGAAAAACCATGGTTCCATCAGCCCGTGCAACTAATATAAGTTTGATATCCGCAATAACAGAAAATGAAGTTCTTTTTGCTCAAACATTTTTTGGTTCAGTGAACTCCGGTAAGTTCATCCATTTTTTTGATCAATTGATTAAAAAATGCAATCAAAAATCAATCCTTAAGAATTGTTTTTTTTATCCTTGATGAAGCAAAGATCCATGTCTCCAATATTACCAAAAATGTTTTTGATGAAAAGAGAGTAAAGGTTATGTTTTTGTCCCCTTATATAAAGTTATATGCTAAATCCGATTGAATTTGCATTTTCAAAAATTAAATCCATCGTAAGAAGATCACTAGCAAGTGGATTTAATGAATCATTTACAAATCTTATATATTAAATTCTGTAAATCAATTAACCACAAATGATTTACAAGGTTATTCGAGGCATATACGTCGAATTGTTTAAAAGCGATTGCTAAAGAAGTCTTTAATTAAAAAATAGTATTCTTTTTATTTTTTAAAAAACATCTTAAAAAATGCTGTGGTTATTTTAAAAAACGCTGTAAAAATTTTAAAAATATTTTTGGTTGTTTTAAAAAACATTTTTCAAAACCGATTTGAAATACCATGTATTGTTTGTGTAACTCATGACTGTTTTTTGCCTTAAAAGTTAGTTTGATGTAAAAATAACAATCATTTAACAAAAACACTCAAATGACACTGTCTATAAACAATCAGAATTAAATATAAGTTATAATGTATTTACCTGTTTGAATTGCCAAGTTCCAAAAATAAGAATTTAACTAAAACTATCTCCATAGATTGACCTATAAATGTATACATTGCTTTAAATGATGATGGATAAGGTTGCGGGAATCGAGGTGAATAAATTATGCCTTGAGTATGATTTATTGGACCTTTGGAAACAATTAATTTTCTTTGTACATGATTTGATTTGATTTCATTGTTGAATTGATTAGAATATGGAAAGTTCATGTAATCTAGATATGATGAATCTTCAGCTGAAATAAATAAACACTATTGCTGTTATTTGAGAAAAAAGTAATATATAATTCTTGATTAGATTATAGTTTTTTATACTGTGTTATGATTATTTTATGTTCATGTGTTTATTAAATTTCGGTTCAAAAACGACTAAACACATTTAGAAGAAATATATATATAGAATCAGTCAACCAAAGAATCGAAATTCACAGCTAATTACACAATGATTTGAAAAAAATAGAACAGCTTCTATGAACATAATAATGCTGTTTTTTAGCAGCATCTGGCATCACGTACAACTCACAACCATTAAACCCGTTTATTGTATTTATAGTACGTGTACAACTAAATATATATATATATATATATATATATATATATATATATATATATTTCAAAGCATCTTTCTCAAATCAGCCTTAGGCTTAAACCTTTAACTTAAATTGATTTTCATAATATTAAACATAAGTAATATCCGTTTCACGTTTAGTAATAACCGTTGGTTGTTCGTGATATTCATATAAGCTTATTTTCTAAGTCCATGTATGCTACTGATAGCCTAACATTGTATCTTCAATGAGATGTGATCATTGATGGAGTTTACTATTCTCTTCTTTGTTAACTTATCATTGAAGCAATATGACAAGTTTATACTAAAGTTCAGTGAATCAATATCGCATCGCCTTTGAAAATGTCAGTATTTTGTTATTATCGCTCAATAAGTTTGTATTCACATTACTCTTTGTTATTATTTTTTACATCAAACTATGGTATCTTACTTAATGTTGCATTTGATAGACAGCAAATAATTAGTTCATCATACACTCTGCTACTCGATACATCCAGCCAATTAAAATAAAACTTATATGATTAAAGTTTTAAATAACAATAAATTTAACAATGTCATGTACAAAATATTTATATGAAGTTAACATTTCAAAAAAAAGTTATTTCTTGAATTCTAAAATTAAATGAAGTAATTATGATAACACTGAAAATGATATATAATTATTTACTATTCCTTGTAAATCTTCAATAATTAATAGATATTTGACCGAAGAAGGTTTAATATGTCTTTGATGTAGAAATTACTTAGTCATTATAATTCATGTAAATTATCGTAAAGAAGTGATTTTCTATGTTAACAATTACTGATATTACCAAAAGTATAATCCAGAGAAAGGAAAAGCAGTGAGAAGACGTAATTGATCTGAAAAATGTGATGTATTTGCGCTATACATTTCGAACAATCTGGTCACACATATTTACTTGTCGAGGTATTTTATATGAAGATGAATAAAAGGTCAATTAAATAAAAGTTCAAATAGGCATAGAGTGATAATTGTAAATAAAGGAGAGAGAAAATTAACGTAATATGAAAAGAATAAGAAGGGGTAGGAAAATTGTCACATTACCCTAGGCTTAAAGATTACCAAGGTAAATTCAAGGTTATGACAAATTGTTTCTGCACACATAGGGGGAATTTAAATTTTCTAATAGCCAAGGCCTCGATAAACCTCTAAATTCGTTCTTCAACATTTCTATACAATGTTTTGAAGGCTGTCTTGATGTCAATCTTATGCCCTGTCTCAATAATGTGTTTGGGGATCGATGAACATAGTTTTGTTCGAAATGAATGGCGCAAATACATCACATTTTTCAGATCAATTACGTCTTCTCACTGTTCTATCAAAATTTATAAAAGTGACTAATTGTTTTAAAGGAAAAGCAGTCAAATCACATCACTTTCCCGTACTATCTGACATCTGATCAAACTTAACTGTTAAAATGTTTGACAATTAAAGTCAATCAACACCGTTAACATCAACAGACCTTATTTTGTTAAACTTTTATATGTTCATTTGTAAATATTATTGATAGAATTCAATGAAATGTTTAGAAGTATAACGAATTTATTTTCTAGAATACAGAGATTTGATGTAAATACTGTTAATGATCTCAAAAATAAAAATTACAATTACTTGAATGCATTGGATATTTTGTACCTACAAACAGTTAATAATAAGCATCTTCTGCCAGTTTTTTATTAGAAATATCCAAAGTATATTTGATTGCCAAAATAATATAATAAAGATTTATTTACTTACCTTCACGAAATTGCATATTTCTTGAAGATGTAAATTCGGCATCGGCAAAAAACAGCTTAGACTTATTGCTATTTGATGAATTTTCTAATTTATCTTTATTATTCTTATAATTCAGATATTGATTTTCATGCTCATCATTTTCAACCGGTTGATTATCATCTTCTTTAAGAAATGGAGAAGGTAAAACTTGAGATTCATGAACAAACTCATATGTCCCATGAAAACCTTGACCTTGATAGAAAGGACTACGACTGACAAAGTCTAATTTCAACATAGAACCATGTGAAACAAGTTGTATATTGACGAGATTAGTACACAGATTTGCCAATGTTCTTGATTTATTCTTGTACATTTCAGATATAGAAATAAAGTCACTTTGCACCGGGATAGAATTTCTTGTACTACATCTAGTTGTTAAAAAAGAAAAAAAGTGTTATTAATTAATCTATAATTTCTCTCTCAGATAAACGACTCTGATTTCTTGTTTGTTTGAAAATCAACTTTCTAATAACGTGAACTACATATTTCCCATAGAACAATGTTATTGATATCAGTTTTAAAGCTTGATGGAATCTAACTTAACCTGTTTATTCAGATTTTAGTAAATACTCAAACTACAATAAATAAAAATTTGACAAATGTGGGTAGAATTTTCAAGAGATTTGTGATTTGTAGATGGCGGTTAGCAATTTTTTTTCTCAAGTAGATCACATATTTTAGTGAACGAGAAGAAAACTGTATTTTGTGTGACAAGATTGATTGTGGGAAGAATTTTTTATTCAATTTAGTAAATTAAAAACAAACGTTGGAAGAATTGGGTCATTCTCTTACGTTTATGCATTTGTGGTTGCCTAGTCTTATCATTAATATGCCATCTGAAGATGCAGACTGTTGAAATGCATGGAATTCATTATGAATAGCTTTGAATAGAGCATGAACTATAAATTTTCATAATGCTATGTATGAGTTAGGAGGATTTTTTTAGACATTATGTTACACAAACAAACGGTAAGAAATGCAACAAAGAGGAAGTTTTCTGGTGCTATTTATTCTTATCAAACATAATTCACGAATTATACCAATACAGATTAGCAAGCTAAAATCCAGTGCAAAATACGGTAAATGATAAACAAACAACTGCTTAATTAACTGCGGAAATCAGTTCATCACGAGAATTTAGCCTTATACAAAGCATTCAGTGTGTACAGTCCTAAATGACTATTCTGACTAGAGAAAGATTTGACTTCGGGAAAGTTGAATGAAGCAATAAGATTAGCTTTTAAAAAGCTTTACAGACTTTCGGAATGTTAGGATGTATATTTGTTAGGTATATTTTTGAGAATGAAATTTTATTTAAAAAAAAAGAATGTTACACCTTTAGATTTATGAAACAAAGTCTCCATAATCTGAGTTTTCGTATTTAACAGATGGGCTACCTACTTACTCAGTTAAGCCTGTTACCCCTAACAGAGGTTAGGCCACAGAGTCTATCCTGGACCTTTTTTTAGAGTTCCACCCACATGATGTTTATTCTTTGCACGTGTGATTCCGACTCTCGGCGAAATGTACAGTTTGGTCTTCTTCCCTTCCTTTGGCCTTGAAGATTCCATGTGATAACTTGTCTTGTCAAGCAGTTGGGTGATTTCCTCATTATGTGTTCTATCCACCTTCAACACTTTCTCTTATTTTCTTACTCAGCTGAAATCTGATTTCTTTTCTCCTAGAGCAGGTTGTTCTTGATGGTTTCTGACCAACAGATCCGGAGTATTCTGTGTTGACAACTGTTAATATCAACATATATCATGTGGATAATGGCTTTCGTATTTCCCCCAAGTTCAGCCCCACGCAATAGAACGGTTTCGAAGTTTGTATTGAGAATTGTGACTTTGGTGTTGCTTTGACGGTTGTTTAGAGTTGCAGATGTTGTTCATTTGTTACTTTGCCAATCCGTGTCTTTCCACCTGCATCAGATCTACCTTGTTTATCAAAATTGTAGAAGTTGCTACATCCTCCAAAGCTTCTCCGTCTCGTATGATTTGGCTGGTACATGTTGCGTCGTATCTAAGGATCTTCATTTTCCCCTTGTGTACGTTGAGACCTACTGCCTTAGAGGCTGCTGCAGACAGACTACATATATTCTGGTTAAATACTGTTTACGGTTTAAATACTTGTAGCCTACTCAATAATTATAGCGAGTGAGGTGTTAGAGCAGTACAAAGTTTAAAAGAAATGTTGATATGGAGCACAAAAATACTGGTTAAATTTGTATAAATGCAAATAATTTCTCAAAGTTCTATACTGTCTGAATAATTATCTTATATATCAAAAATTTCATTTTTCAATAGTCTAATTAGAAATCAGATTATCTTAAAATTTACTAATATTTCTGTCAGCAATATAAATCCAAAATTTAACTTGTTACATAACTGATTTATAGGCTTGTCAATGAATTAAGATTATGAAAACGTTGAAATGTGAGTTTTATCATGAAAAATTGCTATTTATAATTTGACTTTTCATTAGTAAATTATATTATCATTTTCATATAAATAGTAATTCGAATAAATCAAATAAGTTCGATGAAATTACGATATGATTTTGAAACAAGATTTATGTTGAAATGGTAGCTTACAAGTTGAAAATAACAGAAATATATATTTCCAGACATATAATGATTCGTTTGTTACTATTTCTACTTGTATTATATAATTTATTACTTTGAGATTATCCTATGTACATGATTAACACGATTTATATGCAGTATATATTCTCTGGTTCAAGGAAGATTCTCAGTAAAATACTTTTAAAGCTATACAAACTAATAGACAAACTACATGGGCTTCGCCGAACCACACTACACAGAACCAAATCGATCATATCTGCGTCAAGAACACGTTCGGAAATAGAACGTAAGAACAAAGAAAAGATATGAAACAACTTCAGATCACCACTTGATGGTGGCATAGATAAAACTGAAAGTAAAGGAGCACTGGACAACTGGCCTTTCTTCCAGTTACTGACACCCTCAACGAATTCAACATGATTATCAACAACATGTTTCAAGCTTTACACGAAACAAGTAAAGCAGAAGAACACAACTGGAAAGGTTTCGAAGATCAAATTTACTTTCGAAAATGAAGACGAACTTAGTGAACCACGTTTCTTAGACTGCTTAATTAGAAAGAATTCTAATGGAACCAACATATTCAAATCGATTCACTGACATTAACTCTGCGTATCCATTCAGTGCCAAAATTTCCCTAGCGGTGAATCTTTTCAGAAGAGCTACCAAGATTATTACTTCATCAGAAGATCAGCTAAAGGGAAAAAATAGTGTGATAAATATCTTAAGGCTTAATAATTTTCCTATGGAAAGCTTATTAAAATAAACTATCTATCCACATTTAACATCTCTAATGAAAATCCTTAAATATGTGTTATAGATTCATCTTAACGCTGAGGTACGATCGAAGGATTTCGAAAACATTCAGAACTAAAACACTACATAAGACGACCAATAGTCCACGAAACGCTGCAGTGAGAAATAAAGACAAGATCCCGTTAAGTGTCCACGCAAAAGTGTGTCTACAAACTAGATTATGTCGTCTGCGAAGCGTTCTTGATTGGGTAGTCCTCTCGAGAAATCTATACCTGTGCCAAAGGGCAATTAAGCTGCACAATAAACCTAATAATCCCGTACAACTGGAAATCTACTAAATAAATATAGCAACAGCAGTACACATTATTTTCAACGACCATCAGATCAACATAAAAAATACCAAATTAATTCGGAAAGGTTTTTCCAACTATAACGAGAAGCGAGTAGCTGAGGCATTTTATATAATACTAAATCCTTCTGCCCTCAACAGGAAAGAAGGTCTAACTATTCATTCACCCTGGACTGTTTATCCCAAAAACCTTATTTGACTCATTATCGACACAGTTGTACGCATATGTACACACATAATTATCATTATCATTATTATTATTACTATTAATTTATACCACATTTAAATATATTTCTCCCTACCTTCAAACACAAATCACACATTAAAGTCTTGTACAGAATCTCGTCGACCGAGAATAACATGACATTGACAAATTCGGACCTATCATGATTTTGCCTTGTTTCCTTTTTGCTACTTAAGCTTGTGGTAATTTGTCTTGTCCATTAATTTATTTAGCCGGAATAAGCATCTTCCATTAAGTCAAGAAATGTCAGATTAACAATTTTTTATTCATTGAGATACCAAACAAAAAATTATAGTTATTATTTTTTTATTATTACTTTTCCACCTAATGCTCGATTTGTTCGAAACCATCACTCCAAACCCTGCTACTAATGAATAGATTGAATGCAGCATTTTATCATTCCACTCCGTGAGATTTATAGTGAACATTTAATTAAATTGTAATAATATCTTATTTTATCTTGTCTAAATGTTTACTGAATGTTCGTGTACATATCATAGAACGATATACATTTTTAAAAATCCACTGTCTTAAATATTACGTAGAATTACCAGTGTATTGAGATTCTAAAATGTATATACTACCATTGGTTCAATTGACCTAAAATACACAGTTGTTACCCTCGATAGAATTGGTTAGAGAATGCTGGTAGGCGGCCTATGCTCAGTTCTGGGTAACTGGCGTAAGTAAATAAATACACAATCGTTGAATATATATGAGAAATGCACACATGCACAAAAAAGTAATAAAATGTGATAGTTTTTATAAATCATAAGAGAAACTACAAACTATAATCTCGATATTCACTGAGCAGCTGAAAACAGATATATCGCTTAAATGCATTTCCCACCTAATATATGATCTGTTCTTGTTTATAGTTTACTAGTAAATCGATGAAACGTTCATGTTATCAATATAAATAAAAAACATTTTAAGTCAGTGGTTACATGAATAAGTTAAAAAAATGTCTAACAAATATATTTATCATGGACTGTCAATACGTACCTTTTTGTATGATTATTCCCCAAATTTCCATTTGTCATCGCTTTCAATCGAATTGAACGAAATGTTAAAATAATTCTTTCTTTTTTATCTGCTTTAAAAATGAATCGACATTTAATATTTGGTGGATAATTACTTGGATAAAATGGTGAGAAAAATTCGCCATATTTAATTGTTTTATTGGACAATTTCATAGGGCTAAATTCATAATCACAAAATGTATTTTCTTTTCTTCTTCCTTCATTATTCTGATAATTAGCTTTGTTGAGAGAAAGAGAGAGAGAGTGAAAAAAACAATTTCTTTTCATTAATAAAAAAAAACAACAATAAATAATAAAGTTTATAATTAATAGACAGAAACAATTGAAAAATTTTAATTGTTGTTCTTTATATTAAAGAACAATATTTTGTATGATGTAAGAGAATTTCGCCCTTATATTAAAGAAAGTAAAGATGATTAGAAAATTGAACGAAGTGTTGTGAGAATGAATTTGCATATTTTAATTGATTTATTAGTAATTTAATTATTTTCACTTAATAGTTTATGCGCTTGAAGCCAACAAAAATCATGATTAGTTTAACATGAAAAACATTGCCGCGCTGTTTGACTGATGTCTAATATTTCCTAACTGCTTATTAATGAAATGTTTTGAATTTCTTAAAATATCGATTGATTATTCACAGTAAATTAAGCATTTCGTTTCATTACTTATCACATGTTGTTAAATTGTTAGATTAAAGTAATTCACTTAAATACAGTTATCTCTATAAGTAGGCATCTAGTATGGGTTCAGAAAATTGAGCTACACAACTGATGTTCAGATTATTTGATCAGTGTGATTGTATTTATTTGATCAGTCATAATGAACATAAAACGGCAACAGTTATACTGGTATACGTCTATCCTCACATTCGCAAAGTACACCAAGCTAGTACTCCATTTACTTATAATTGCCAGGTAAACAGATCACATATTTTTACTACAAGCAACATACACAGTTAGAATTTTTAAGAAACGGGACAACACCATTCATGTATAATCATTCCTCACGTGAGGGACTATACATAGCAAAGTCAATCGAGAACGTTCTTATTTGTAGGAGATCAGAGAAGAGAAAATTTAGTAAGAGTTGACAACCTGAATAGTCATGACAGATATAATTCACTTTTATCAACTGACATTACAGTTCATTGTTGTAAGATTATTATGTGAGTAAACAATCTAAATGATGTCTACCAACATTTTTGCCTCAGTAACGTAACCACAAACCTTCCATGTTGGAAATGTCTTTTTCTGCTCTCTTTAACTTGGGAAAATGTAAAACATTGAATATCAATAAATGTATTGCAATTTATATCTGAAATTTTCATATATTTTCAAAAACACATTCAATTTAGATTAACAAAACTATGGCATTATAAAACTTACTTTTTAAATCAAACGTAAATTGACCAATGAATCCCATCTGTTGACTACGTTTTAGACCAGGAATTTTAGGTGCTGTGTGAAATATAAGTAGTAAAATAGAGCTAACTGAATAAAAATCATTTTGTGGGAAATCATTTAAATCTCCACATAATCTATAATCTGCTGGTCGAGGAAAATTGACTGATAAATTATACATTGGTTGTCCAGATTTTGAAGACAATTTCATATTTTCATTCATCATTATTTGATTTTCCAGCATAGTGTGATCATTTGATTCTATTGTAGTGAATATATCTAAATAATCTATACACCTGGGTAGAACAGGAACAACATAAGAAATGAAGCATTTAGTTAGACGAAAATGTTATTCATCAAATATTTTGTTTAACTCATTAATTTTAAAGTTGCATAAATCTAATTTCACAAATGAATAGACATCAGATCATTGCGAATCGTTGAATAAATTTATCACTGAAATCTTTTTTAAGTTAACATCTAATTTTTTATACTTAGAGGACTAAAGTATAATGCCATAAAATTTTCCGTAAATTCAAGCGATTCTTCTGACTGATTGATTGAGTAATCTATATTCAAACGCTCAACTGCTTACATAGTCTAAGAAAATAATCACTAGGAACGAGAACACATATGAAAAAACAGTATCACGATTGATGGCATTGCAAAAACCTTATCATCAGAATTCGATTATTCGGTACTTTTGAAAAGGTTTGTATTGCTTTATGATTAAGGTACATGATGTTGAAATTTTTCAGAACGAGAAAAAACTATGGGTAAGTTTGTGTAAAATCCTTAACTTGATCAGAATTATTCATTAACACTATTGGATACCACCTCAGTGGTACTGAGTTTCAGCGTTCGCGAGCAAGGCGGAAGGTTCTATGTTCGAACCCTGCGGATAACATGATTCATGGATGCGCGCTGCTGAGGAGTCCGAAATCAGGACTAAACCGCCGTGCTTCCAGGTTTCTAAAGGTGATCTGGAAATGATTCATTCATTATTTCGATGTGTAAAAATAACTTTTCACTATTTATACAAATATTTTGAGAAGAAAAATATAACTGAAATGTTATATCCAAACTACAAACTCTTATCGTCGTATCTAAAATCCGAATACATTTTGTGCAGAGATATTTCACAATTTTGGCAACATGAAAACATGGCTACAGAAACCAAGCAACTTCTATTTAAGGACGATAAAGCCTAACTTTTATATGGGAGGTCTTTGATTTGTTAACTGCGTACTTCGAAAGGCTTTATCACCTATGCCTGACGTTGGTGATGTAAAGTGAAATAAGAAAATTTTAGAGATGATTTTCTCTAACTCCATCTTTTTTCTGAGATGGCAGCACTACAATAGATAGTAGTTATCTTAGGACTACACCTTACTGTTATCACACTTCAGCACGGTCAGATGTAGGACAGGAACTTTGAACGTTAAGTTGTTGCTTATAGCCTTACCGTTATCCAACTAGCTTTTTTTTAAGAAATGAGTAACATAAAGAAACAAACATTCCAGTTATTATAAATGGAAGGTTGATCGCTAAGTCAAGGTTTCAGATACGGGAGAAAAATTAAAACATCCTGCACATAATATGAAATGCACATCATATTAAATAACAAAGGAGATAACTTTAATGTCATCAGCTAAAACATAAAGCTCTTTAATAAATTTCACAAATAGTTTCTTGAGAGTTATACTGAATATTTTTTAACAGTGATGGAAAACTCATCATTTGTACTTATACAACATAGTTAAGTTTGTTTGTTGAGATGATTGGTGCGCAGTTAGCATTCTAAAAGTATGTAGTAGTTTAAGTTACTCCTAATACAAATAGTTTAAGTGTAATGAGATGAAAATTTCAACCAAATATTTTAAATAAATTTATAGCTGTTATCAAATACAGCTGGAATAATTTACGATTATTGATACGTCAAACCAATCAGACATAGATTAAGTAAGGCGAGATGCGGATATGGATATCTTATTGATGTGAATTTACTTTCTGAAGGCTATGATGCATCCACGTTCATGAATGAGTTATGCATAAATATATCCGACTTGGTTTAGGCAATAAAAATTGACAGCTTATATTTGATTTCATTCTGGTAGTTGATTGAATATGCTTATTAAAAGATTGTATATCAGAAAAAGATTTGAAAAAACAGCTGATCATGACAGTCACTATTTACACATTTTTAAATTTAAAAATTACGAAGATAGTCCTATTAACAACACATTGAAATGTTCAGTTAATTAGATGTGTTCAATAAAAAACATTTCACACACTTACTTCTTCTCAATCGGCTTTCTTAAATTAAATGTTGTAAACGTGATTTTGACTAATTCAGTCGATAGACCATGAAAATAATACAATAAACAATCTAATTCATATTGATAATTTTTTGGATAATTCGGTGTTTTAAAAATGCCAGATTTATGCATTGCACTATCGAATACAAAACATCGACAATCTAAAATAAATGAGATCAGTGATTATGATTGTGATAGCTTTTCAAAAAAAAGAAAGTCTCTTTATTTAAAGAAAAAGCAATTTATTTCTACATGATAACTAATATCGATAGTTTGTAAATCATAAACTATGGCATTCTTTCTTGTCACAAGTTTTCTATAAAACGTATTTGTTCAACTTTATTTCATGTCAAGACATAATTCAACAGATCGATAATTAATCATTGAACCTAACAAATAGTTAAGTTTATTCTATTCCAATCATTTACTAACAGTGAGAGCTTATGGCAAACTGTCACCGGAATTCCTCACTTCAAGTGGTGTCCGTCAGAGATGTGCACTCTCTCCATTCTTGTTTAATTTTGTCATAGATATGCTCCTAGATATAACCTTATACTCGTCTGAATTTTCATGAGTAGACCTTCTACCAGGAAAATCGCTTGCGGACTTAGAATGTGCCGATGATATAGTTCTATTTGGTGAAGACGCTGACAAAATGCAGACTCTTCTGACTACCCTAAGCAACAATGCAAGCATGTTTGAGATGTGGTTTTCCCCCTCGAAATGCAAAATGTTGCTTCACGACTGGGTTGGTTCGACACCTGAACTAATGATAGGGAGTGAAGTAGTTGAGCGTGTTGACCGCTTCACTTATCTCGGAAATCTCATCAGTGCCGATGGCCTGGTGACTGACGAAGTCTCGGCACGGATACAGAAATCTAGACTGGATTTTGCCTACTTGCGTCACTTATGGCGAAGGCTAGATATCCGTTTGCTGACTAAAGGACGAGTGTACTGCGCAGAAGTCCGCTCCATTCTGTTATATGGCTATGGAACTTGGCCAGTTAGAGTAGAAGATATTCGTAGGTTATTGGTTTTCGATCATATCCTGGGACAACCGATTGAGCAATGCTGTTATTAGGAAACAGGTGCTAGGTAAGGATGGCAGAACTGATGAAGTAATGAAACTTCATCAGTTGAGGTGGTTGGGACACGTGTTACGAATGCCTAACCACCAACTGCCTCGACGAGCTTTGTTTTGTAGTGTAGGAATAGGTTGGAAGAAAGCTAGGGGCAGTCAGACCAAAACATGGCAGAAATCCATGAAGTCACTGACAAGTGGACTGAGCCATGTCGGTAGTTATCGAATACCTGGTTGGAGTCCGCGAGATGTTAGTAATCGATGGTTAGAGACCCTGAATGACATGGCTCAGAATCGTTTGCAATGGCGCAGGTGCATTCATTCTTTGTGTTCTCTCAAACCCTAAATTTTTTAATTCTCTATCACTTTATCTTTATCTTTTTAAGACTATTTCACTAGATTCTACTTCTTGAATAATATCTCCTGATCCTAACCTTTTCGACTACTGCCAATACCTCTACTACCTCTACTATTATTGGATTTGAATTGACAATTATATCTATGTGCTAACGTGGTATGGCAACATGAACTGATGTACGTATGTACGATGTTCTACGTTGCTATTGATTGATTGAACCACATTTATTACAAAGGTATGAATATAATGTTGAGCCACTTAGATTAGATTTGAACGTGTTCTCTTTCATGAGGGTTTTCTTCCTCACCATTCTGTTTCCACTAGCGTCTCTGTCTCTTGCAGTGCTCAAGAATAAACTACGAGTATTTGAGTTGACAACATCTTGCCACTCGTGATAAGAAACCATATATTAAGTTTGTTTGTTATGAAAGTAATCAGAAAACTGCCAGAAGAAATCTCGATTGTCCCCGACGAAGCAGGTAAGTGTAATAATTTTATAAAGCTGTTTTGTCTGGAGCTTCATCAAAATCCAATTGTCCAGCTTATATACTTTTCAAGGAGATAGACTGATATTGGGCTGTTTATCATGGAAAAGTGTGTCACAACTGTTAGTGATATTCACTGGCTTATCACAATGGTTAATCCAAACCTGTAACTTGATTCTATCATACTTTACATATCAGTTCAAAATTTACAAATATTATCAACTGTATATTACTAACAATCTTAAATTTATTTATTTTATACAATGAAGGAACGATATTATTTGCAAAATACGATAACTTCATTGGACTTCCTTGTTTTCTTTTTTTAGTAATACATAAGTTATTTATATCCGGTTATTAATATATTGACTTTAATTTATTACGGATAGTTTCTTTGTAATGTGAAAGAAATTTAAAATCAAGGTCTAAAATGGCGGCTTAATTTTACAACTACTTAAGGTTATAATAGTCCTAGAATTCTATTGAGTGATAATGATAAGCATTTAGAGGATCAGGACGAAAAATAATAGGTTGGATAAGTTCAAATAACTTAAGTATGTTTAGAATATACAAGATAATGTGATAGAAAATTTATGATATTAGATTTCGTAATGTGAATCAATAACAATAAACGATTGTCTATGCAAATATAAACTTGTATCAATAAATTCATAAAATATTTTCAGTACAAGACAATTATTTTGTCTTTTCTATGTAAATGTGAATTGATATACACAGTTGGCGGTGACATTTGATGCATATTTTTCTATATTTTTTTATATTACTCCTCATAGTGTTGTATATGATAGAGTCAACCTTTAGGTTACTGATGTGATTGTAGTACTCAAATTACCTCATTCTTCTTTTAGAGTTTATATCTTTCCATTAAACTTCGGCATTAAGTACTTTATTTCGTTAGAACTAGTTGAAGGTAATCATTTTCCTAAAGATAAGTTTCAGTGAAAAGCTAGTTGATAACCTATGAAATTTTCCAAACCATCTTTTAAGTTTTATCCACTTCATTTGTAATGGCTATTTTTCTAAAGGGACATAAACTATATTGTCCATTTCAACTTCAGTTCATTATCTATGTGTGTGATGTGATCACCTGATAGCGTTCTTATTAACCGTATATCAATAACAATATGACCATCACTAAACATTGCATAATAAAACATAATTATTTATAAATGATTAGTATTAACTGTGTAAAAAAAGTACTGAGAATTCAATGATCAGTATGTTCTGCAAACATTATCGTGCTTACTTCATTAACGTAATACATAGTTTCGTTATACAAAAAGTAGTATCAGTTAATTGTTTTATATTTGTTGAATTATCCCGCCTACTTAACAAACCCTACTCAATTCAAACTTCAATCTAGACTTCCAGTGAAGTTACTTATAACAGTTCAAGCTTTAAATATCAGTTTTGATCACTTTTTATTTTAAAAGAAAATCGTTTTTCTTTTTCGAGATCATTAGATTACCATTTTTTCCATGTGCTTGACTATTTCATACAGTGTTTTTAAAAAATTCCATTAAAATAATTTGAAATTAATGCCCAATACCTGTTCGAATGAAAAAATATTCTCTTAGCTTTTAATTTTGTATGAATCGATTATTTTTAAAACTATTAAACTAAAAACATTATTGATTTGAAACAGCAAACTTTGATATACATACTTATTCCAGCAAAACGCATGTACTTAAACTCATTTCATTTAAACAATATTCAGAACTATTTATTCTGCTTAATAAGAAATCCTAATTAATATAGCTCTATTTAAAAGCTGGAAACATGAAACATTTTTATTATAAGTTACAATTACTTAACATTTTTAATCAAGAGCTTGTTTTAGATTAACAACTATTGTAAACTAGGAAGCACTGAATGGCTCTTTCGTCCTCGTGTAGAACTCCTTAGGAGTGCGGATGTACAAACTCTCAACTAGGAATCCAGATGGCGAACATGCCTCTCACGCACACTCTCTAAGCCTCTGGAACTTGCTATTTCGATTTATTCGGAACGCTCTTTTGGTGAGCGCTTAACGTCTAAACCACGGAGATAACATGTCCAACTCCAGTCGACTCATCTTGCATCACTTGTGGCGGATAAGTGTCTTGTACCCGATATGATTGAATTCTATTGATTATGCTTTCTCAATAGAACTCAAAGAATTGTGTCTGTAAGCTAGTTACAAGTGAGCATGTGATCAGTATAATTTATTCGTTTACTTCAGTAATTGTTAAAAACAACAGTTATTGTATTTCTTCGATAGTTAATAATAGTTATTTTATTTACCAAGGTTACTGATGAGGATAGATGAACATTTACAGCAGTCAATTGCTGGTGACCTCAGATTTAATTGAGTTAGAATAACCTTGGTTCATTTTTTATTGACTGAATCATTTTCAAACAAATATAATTAATTCTAGTTATAACTTTTGTTATCGCTAGCCCGAGCCTAAAATTAAACGAAAGTTCAAAATAATCTAAGCAGTTGTAAATTAGATCTTTAAAAATGTGGTGTTGATTTGCTGTTAGCTTTTCCGTTAGATTATCCCCAGAGCTTGTGGACGGCTTAAAATTATACTACTAATTCACACTATTCATACTTTCAATAAATTAATAACGGCAGATGAAAGAAGTAGCAACAAGATCACTGATTATTACTAATTAATTAGTGCGCATGTTCAAATCTAGTTCTCATTAAAAATCCAACTGTTTCTAGATTTTTTTTAGAATAAAAGATACATTACAATAATATGAATAAAATGAATATTGTTGCGAAATCGACTTATACAGAGAAATACATCTTCTTAACTACTTGTTTATCCTATGCAACAGCCTTACAGCTTCAGGTGTGCTTGTATGAATAATCCTCACAATTTAAATGGATATGATGAGTTTCAAATTGGATGAAATATTTGTTCAATAATTCTGGATTTTCAATAATGGTCTACGTTAGATCAGTTCATAATAATAATTAAAATTGTTAAATGTCCAAGTTTATGAAGAATTTACTACTTTGAACAATACTCCTAGAACTTTATTATACATTAGATAATATTTGATTAAATATATGATCCGAGTGTATATAAAGATTGAGGCTTCTGTTTATTTTGATCATTCATTTTACAAATTCAATTGACATATAAACCCGTTCAAGTTAACACTGCATACTTATCACTTCCATAATAACAATGTTTTGTTGACAAACAATTCTTATTTCAT